TCGTGACAAAGAGAAGAACGGCCATGGGGAAACGAGACTTCACATTGCTGCACGAAGTAACGATATAGCCTTGGTAGAGAAATTAATAGCCGCTGTGAGTTATCTTCAAACTGATTGCTCTACAAACAAGAGGGGTCATCGAACTAATTATGCAGATAGGTTATGAAGCTCTACAGTGTACTATTTTCTTCTTAATTTTAATCGCAATAAGTAGTGTCCTGAAGTTGTGGTCTTGCGGCTGTTGTCATCTCAAAAGGTTTTTTAGACTACTGAAGTTCGCTTTGTCTTTATTATATGATGTTTTGAATCATAGTTTTCTTCTATCGCAGATTTGAATTAGTGTAGTCACATCATTCTTCCAACTCAAAGGCAGCCCATCTACGCGCAGATACAGCCGCTCATCCATCTTCATTCTCTTTTAGAACGTTTTTGTTTTTTTAGGGATATGATATTGATCGGCGAGATTATGGTGGCTGGACACCAATTAGCGAAGCAGTATCTGCAGGAATGCGCGAAAATGTGCGGGCGTTGCTGAAGGCTGGTGCTAAAGTCGACCCAGTCAGTAAGGAAGCATTAAATGATGATGAGAATTCGGTGCGTTGTTTCACCCTGCTGTTAGGTGATTTCTGCTCAAGGACCTGGCTTACCGGCACTAAAATTTATTCAAAAATGTGTTTTAGACTGGAGGTGGAATAACACCATTGATGGAAGCTTGTGATAAGGGATTTATAGACATTGCAAAAGACCTGCTAAGACACGGAGCTTCGGTGACTAAAAGAAATGCTGATGGATGGACAGCGGTTGACTTCCTCAGGTCATTATCATCTATGAGCTATAACTTTTTCTTATGCTTGTATACGACGCAATACTGCTAATTATAGAAACTGTATTGTTTCGATCAGCAATGAGGACGACAAGAACTATGTTGAGGACCTGACCTCTTTGGCGCGGACTATGGAGGACATGCAGCGAAAGCGTAGGCTTATAAACAAATAAAGAATACATTTTATTGTTTTAAGCAATGGTCAAATCCAACTGTTTGTAAAACGAAGGTGGACTAGCTTAAAAATTTTGTGCAGAAAGTAGCTCCGTGTGTGCTAGTTTCTGCAGAGGACCGTCTTGTTGGATTATTACTATATTGTCACTTTCATCTGAAATTTAGAATACGAGAATAGATAAAGTATATAGCATTTTTGTGAGAAGGAAGTATTGTGATGTTAAAAATATAGCGACACTGAATCATGTTGTAGGCTGTATCTACACTTATCAATGCAGACTGGTTGATTCACAGAACATCTTAGCTACCCTTTTTCCACCCATTTATAAAAAGTAAATTCGAAATTAGCAACAAGCAACAAATTGTTTGCCAAGATAACCTCTTTTTTCCAAATTGATAAAGTGTACCGTCATGAAATGTGTTGCCAAGATTTGTGACTTTTAGAATCATTCCCCGTCCGAGGCTGCGCTCCTCAACCAAATCCGAGGTCAAAACCGTTTATGAAATTTCCTCGGAATAACCTTCATGAACAAGCAGAAAGCGATGGACTGAACTCTTATAAAGTAGGTTTTGTAGGTTTTTCATAGAACAAAGTAGTACTAAGCTTTTAATGTGAAAATGGCGTAAAGCAAATCGCACATTTCGACTTCTTCACGGCCCCTCCCCTTTCCACCCTTGCCTCAAAAAAACCCTCCTCTTAAGGAATCTCCTTTGACTTTGCACTTTTTTTTTTTACTAGAATGTTGAGTTGCAATTGTTTTTAGCGTGCAATCGGAGGTTTGGGTGCTCAGTCGAAAAGTAAGAAAAAGACATCTCACCGGACTGATGAGAGGGCTCTCTTTTACGAAGATGACTTGATGATCCGTAGCCCCTCTCCTGACGACATCATTCTTCCCAGTGACTGTGAGAGAAGCCCAGTTAAGAGACGAGACGAGCAAATAGATGTATCGCCCATGTGTACCTCTCCACTACCCTCGTCAACTTCTGCCTCACCAAGTTTAAATCTAGCAAGCAGGGTGAGTCATTGGTAGTTGTGTTATATGAATCACTTTGTCTTTGACTTTCTAGAGTTGTTTCGATCCGCTACCTATCGATGATGAGTTTGTGATCGACGATATGGCAAAACGACGTAAACGAAAAATTCGTGTTTCTTCAGAAACATCTCCTTTGAGTAAAACAAGGGGATCGAAACTGAGCAGGTAAACTTATCCAAACCACTTTTTAACCATGAAATGGAATATTTTAGGATAGCGACGCAGCCTGCTTGTGTCTCTAAAACGATGAATAGATCTCCTTCACCCAAAAAAGCTTTAACGAGCTCCCAGTCAGGGTATGCTTGTCTCCCTTTTTTTGAACTGATACAAGAGATTCTGCAGAGCTTGGTTCGACAATGCGAAAACTGCTTTGTATTTTTTTTCCAACCAAACATTAGTTTTCAACTCTTTCTTTAGAACAAGACTCTCAGTCTTGAATTATTTAGTTCGTCACTTTTGCGGGATTCTTCGTTGAACAGCACCCCTTCAGCATCTACACAAGCGCCAATGATCATAGCTACACTGAAGTTTGAGAATGAAGATGGAGATAGATTCCGACCCGATAGAATGGTGACCTTCCCTAGGTTTGTTGAACGTTGTCTGAATGTTGCTGCTGTCTGATGTAGCAAAAAGAGTTTGCTTGAATTCTCACCAAGGTAGTTACTCTGAAACTTACTTTACAGGTCTGCAACAATGGCAGAAGCCGAGGAGCGTTTTCGTTCTGAACTTGATCAATCTCTCCAAACCAGAAAGTTTAGCATGCGTCTTGGTGACGGAAGGGAAGCTGATGCAGCAATCCCTCTTCTTTCCCTTGGAGAGCCTCTGGTTATTATCTCTAGACTACAGAAACCGACAACTGAGGATCTATACAAGAGCAGAGTAGGTAGGTGAAGAATAAAGTCATTCTATCTGTTATGAAAATGAGATAGGACATATGAATAAATCCTTAGTTCAGAAAATTCTTAGCAGAAGAGGTTGATGTTGGTGATAATTTCTGTCTTTGTTAC